TGACGGTACACACACACAAAATAATAAAATAAAAATAAAATTTAAAAAAATAACATCTGATATTATGATAGAAATTACATCATTCCTTGTTTCAAAGATTTGAATTAAACATCTGAAATACACTCAATGAACAAAAAAAATTATCATTAAGAAGCCATTTCTCCACAACAAGAAAATGAATTTAAAAAGAAATAGCTTCTTTCTTTTGGAATAATGTGCTTAGTTGTTGGATATATTTGGTGAATATGTCAGGTTTTCCTTTCAATACTCTAATTTTAAAGTATAATCTTACATTTATGTTTTCCATTATGTGAAAGTTGTTTTCGAAATGAGCATGTCAGTGTTTTAAACCTGGCAGATAGATTTCATATTATCATAGTTTAGATTTGAATAGTTTAGAATTTCGAAAATCAAAGATAGTAAAGATTATTTTTTAAGGAAGTGCTTACACAGGTTCTTATGCCTGTAATTTTTTTTAAGCTGACTTTACACTTAGCCATGTGCAAAATAAATATTTTCAGGGCAATACAAATTTTCATATTAAGCAAGTTTGTTGTGTTTTTGTGTTATAAAGGTTAAATTTTATCCTTTTTAAAAAAATTATTATTATTTCTATGTGTATCATCAAGTCAGATCTGATTGGTACAGGAGGAGGTTGCCCCTCCTTCTCCAGCAGATGATCTGATGGATTCAAACTGCATACCTCTGGGATTGCAGTGCAGCTTCTTGCCACTAGGCCACCAGTGCCCCTTTATCCTTTTAATGTCTCCTCTTTTGACAGTCCACTTCAGGTCCCCTTAGCTATCATTGGGTCAGGTCCAGCTCTATCTACCTTCATTCTCCACCCCTTTTTTTCACCAGTTCTGACACCAGCCATCCCTCCCACAGCACTCTTTGTCTGTACTGAGTTTGATAACCTGTTGCATGGACAGCATTGAACTGACAGACCGACCAGACTAAAAGTTAAGTTGTTTGTTAAAGAGGTGATGACAGGGTTCCCCTTGGATCCGGGTCCCTCAGTGCAGGACAGTCCTCTGGGCTTTTACACATGCAGCCCGTCTCAGCCTCGGAGAGACAGGTTCCTCTGGGCCCACTGAGCACAGACTTCTAATGGTCCTCCTGTCTTATCTCTGCCACCACTGACTCTGCTTTTCCATAAAAGAAAAAACAGAGAAGACTCTTTAGTTGAACAGTGCCAGTATTTCATTGGAAAGGAGTCATTGGAAAATAAGCCGTATGTCACTCTCTGTGTTGGCTTCTAACTTTTTGACTGTTTTTGAGGCAAGCCATCTTTCCATTCTTGTACATTGATGTATCACACGAAAGGACATTTTAGGGTTTATCACTTATTTCATGTGATATGATGATATTGTCTGTCCTGTGTCCTAAGATGTTTATTGGCTGTTCTGTATCCTAAGATGATGTTGCATTAAAGAGTCCTGGTGGCCTGGTAGTAAGGAGCTGAGCTGCCATTCTAAAGGCGTGCAGTTCGAATACTGCTCTGTCAAGTTGGAAGGTGCTCACAGCTGATCTTCCACAGATTTTCCGAGAGTGTAAGTCAGCGGGACAAGATTGCCCATCTTTGTCCTGTGGAGTATCTAGTAGATTTGAGCCATGTGCCTTGTGGATTGC